CCCTGATATTATGTTGAATTCGACACGCCTGGGGTCTTCAGGTAAATCACTTGGGCTGGTTGCCCCACTCCATCCTGCAAGAATGCTGACCCCCGGTGCGATCACGTCGGGTTTCAGTATTTCTGGCGTGACAGTATTGGGACCTCGAGAACTAAAGGCGGCAAGTACGGGTGCCGGTTTGACGCCGACTTTCGTCCCTCTGAAGGAAATTGTGGCTGTTGGGTTAGGATCGGAGAACAAGTATGATTTAATGAGGTCTCCAGATTTTTTGGACACGAGCGTTGCCGGAAGTAAATGGGCATCCGCTATTAACTCTTCTCCGTTTTCAGCCGCATTGGCTAACACCATCCCGGCCCCTCCGGCGGCTTTTACAACATAGCCCTTTTTAACTCTGGGATTTAATCCCCGGTCGCAAAGTACAATTTTTCCGTTCACCTTACTCGGATCCAAAGTTCCTCTAATACACAAATTCCCGTTCGTGGCGTTGCTCACGTTCCCGGCGTAGACGAAAGGAATCTTTTTGTAGGGAAACGGAACAACTCTGTTATTGTAAAGAGAAACACCGGGAACTTTCTTCCCGGTACCGAGAATTACAGGAGCCGGGAAATCACGGTCTAGAGTTCCGGCGCCGACGGTGGTGATCCACGGGGCCATGTTGTACATAGTGTATGGACTAGGGCCGCTGTTCCCGGCGGAGCAGACAACCACAATCCCCTTCTCCATGGCCGCGAACGCTGCAACAGCTATGACATCGTCATAGTAGTCAACAGACTGAACGCCGAGAGATAAGGAAAGAATATCCACGCCGTCTTCGATGGCAGTTTCCATGGCCGCCAATACATCAGACGGAAAACAACCTTCATTCCAGCAAGCTTTGTAGGCTGCAATTCTTGCGTTCTTAGCCATGCCCTGAGCAGTTCCGGCGGCGTAACCGAACAGGCCGGAGTGCTGAACCGGCGATCCTCCTGTTGGGCCAAGAATTTAGCAGGTAGTTATATGAGAAGACTGGCCCATGTTCGTATGAAGATGCTTACAGCCCGAACCGGAAATTTGAAGAATGGATAGATATTATGAGACTAAGTCTTATACAGTTATAACAATAGAAGGATAATGCCAGGCAACTAACTCCCTGATTCGACAAAATAGGAGCCGAACTTTGTGGGAAGAAAGTGGGAGCTGGAGTATAGGAAAATCCCACTATATATAATCTTTAGTTGTAGCTGATGGAGAGGACGGGGGCTATTCGAATGCTATATCTTTGTACTGCACCCATTATTAAAAACTCTTGATACTTCATATTCATCATTCTTATAAATTTCCATCACAAATCCTCAAATTAGTTCTTGATTAAAATATTAGTTTTATTCCTATTTTACTTTCCATCTTGATTCTTGTACGTAGCCCATTACCTACCTTTTATTTAATTGATTGTTTGAATTAGCACTAAAATTGCTAAAACAATTTGGCGCCCACCGTGGGGCATCGTGCAAGAAAAAGATCACATATGGAAGGAGCAAATCAATTGTTGATTGAATTCCATGGGCAATTAGAGACGGTCCGAGATGAAATCCGGCGCGAGATGGCGGAGAAGATGGCTCATCTCCAACAGGAAAATGATGTACTTCGGTCCCAGGTACAGTCTGCGGTGTCAATAGCCTCAAAATCAAGAATCAATCGGAGAAGTGACACAATGACTGCCGCAACACAGCTGAATCTTTGTTTCTCCCCAGCTGCGACGGATCCACCCGCAACATCGACGGATCCACCTGCAACAGTGACGGATCCCATCTCCCTCACGCTAGAGCCGTCAATTCCTCATTACAGAAGCAGAACTTGTGGGGAGCCCGGTTCATCAAGTTTCATGCAGTACACCAGACGGAATGAACCTAGTGTATCATTTCTAGAGCCTCTGACGGAACGCTTTGGCAGACCTGTCACGACATCAGCGTCGACACTTCCAGAGCGACGCCCCGAAGTGAATTTCATCCCGTCAACAACCCGTCCTGAAGTCACCCAGATGGTAGGACCAACGTCTTCTATCCCAATACCAATCCACCCAGCCGTAGCAGATCAGATGTCCATGTTGATGGAGCAAGTGCGTCAGATGCAAGACAAGATCAACGGATTGCCAAGGGTACCCCCGCCCTTGGAAAGAGCGTCACGAACGTGCTATGAAGATTCACCTTTTGACGCTTCGATCATTCGTGTCCAACTGCCGAATAAATTTGACGTACCAACCATGGAGCCATTTGACGGAACCACGGATCCTGGAGAACATGTCGCGCGGTATAAGCAAGTGATGTCGACCGTCTCTGTTAGACTTGAACAGAAAGAGGCATGTATGTGCCGGGGATTCGGCATGACATTGACCGGTCCCGCTTTGACATGGTTCGTCAATCTTCCGAATAGAAGCGTCAGTTCATTTGCCGAACTCGTCAATCTTTTCAATCGACAGTTCGCGAGTAGTAGGGTATTGGAAAGACGGACCAGCGACTTATATCAAGTCACACAGAGGCATGGTGAATCACTTAGAGATTATTTGCACAGATTCAACGTAAGGAAGGTGTCGATCCCAAAATGTGACGTCTCGACCGTCATTGAAGCATTCCGAAGAGGTTTATATGAAGATTCAGAGCTATACCGAGAGCTGACGAAATACCCTTGTCGATCCTTCGAAGACGTCCAAGCAAAGGCATTGGCTTTCATCCGTCTAGAAGAAGACTTACGATCCCGTCTTGGACATGTTGAGCATGAATGGGGGCACGGGAAATCAGAATCTCCTAGGAGGCTTGATTACAAGTCTGGGAAACCTTATTCAAGACCCGAGGAACGAGTCGTCATTCCATGACGAAATGAACAAGACAAAGTGATTGATATCCCGGACGGGGGGCACATCGTCCGATGATAGACAGATTCTAAAGAGCTGCAATACGGTACCCTTAAAAGTTGTTTCATTTTTAGTTTGTTACTTTCTTTCGCATATTGTCGTCAATTCCGTGACGAGTCACTTCTGTGACGGATCGCTTTCGTGACGAATCACTTTGATGACGAATCACTTTCTTGACGAGTTACTTCCGTGACGAGTCATTTCTGTGACGAGTCACTTTCGTGATAACTCACTTCGGTGACGAAATGATTGAAATCGTCAGACGGGGGGCATATCGTCCTACGGTAGACATGTTATGGTGATAACTTATCTAGATTGGTATACATATTCTTAATCTATTATTTTCATTTATCTATAAACGATCACCTACTAACTTAATCATCGGAGGGCCGTTGGCTTAAGGCCAACGACCAATCCTAACGACGTTTTGAGCGCAGGAAACCGAATGAGGCGCCAGGTAAATCTCTTTGATACGTCGCACAATAAGTCCATGACGTATCGGGTACGACGAATCTGTCAAAGTGTCATGGTCATTGGTCAGTCTGTACGTCACTTTGAGGTCTTGTCTTACTTTGATCCCTGACAGATCAGCGAGTTTAATCTGAAAAATCTCATATCATTTATAAAACCGAGTGACTGATTTAGAATAGATTGAGTCTAGCTAAAATTTGGTTTCTTTAATAATCTATGCATTTTCCTTTGAGTTATTTTGTACATGATTAACTTATCTCATTTCTAGGCTTTAGTTCAATCAATTTTGGATCCTTTATGGAATCATTCTGTGGTCATCTGGTTTAGAGAAAGTTGTGACGTGTTCAGTGTAAAGTATACATTTACACTTCAAGATAGATTCATTGCTTTTACTGACTTAACCATCGAAGGGTCGTTGGCCCAAAGCTAACGGCCAGCTTTGACGGTTTTTAATGGATGCAGGACTATCTCGACGCATAAGACCAAGTAATTATTGAGGCAACTAGGATTTCAACCATGCTCATGCCAGTTACATATTATTCACTGACATCAAATGGGAAAGGGCTGGGCTGCCCATGAGAAGATCATGGATAACAGTCCCAGTCGGCCCTTACAACATATATTTTTGGCCAAAACCTACGCACGTGCAATCAAAACATATATGACAACACGCGAACAACAAAAAATACAGAACTACACAACAGAAGCACATTCTCCAACATAAGGAGATAGTACAAATGAAAAACGTAACTCTATTTAAAGTTTTTGCAGGATATGGACCAAGTTCGCACAACCCATCTCGTCATCTTCAACGACGGATGATGTTCCCTTTGTCAACTGAAGTGTCGACATCAACCTGGACGAAGTTTCATCTCGTAAGCACTGACTAGTTATGAGTCATTAAGACAAATTTGGAGGAAGATGATATGAGATCAGCCTTCATTCTTCGTCGCTTCAGTCAAAGAGACGGATTCGATCAAAAACTATTTGCAAGGAAAGTGACAAGTTGACGGAAGCGTCTTATCTAAAGGTTGACGGGTTGACGAAAGAGCGCCAGACGAGTGACATGTTGATAGAAACGTCTCCTCAGACAAGTGACGAGTTGAAGGAAGCGTCTTGCCAGATAAATGATGGATCGGTAGAAACGTCTTGTCATTCGAGTGACAGGTTGACAACATGTCTTGAAAAACTTATGACGAGTCTATAAGTGCAATAATCAATGATGACCGTTTACGTTCTTTCAATATTTCGAAAAGTTGATGCTTAACGGGTCGACATGTGCGCCTATACGCCTCAACTTCTCGAAAGGGGGCAATTGTTGGGCCAAGAATTTAGCAGGTAGTTATATGAGAAGACTGGCCCATGTTCGTATGAAGATGCTTACAGCCCGAACCGGAAATTTGAAGAATGGATAGATATTATGAGACTAAGTCTTATACAGTTATAACAATAGAAGGATAATGCCAGGCAACTAACTCCCTGATTCGACAAAATAGGAGCCGAACTTTGTGGGAAGAAAGTGGGAGCTGGAGTATAGGAAAATCCCACTATATATAATCTTTAGTTGTAGCTGATGGAGAGGACGGGGGCTATTCGAATGCTATATCTTTGTACTGCACCCATTATTAAAAACTCTTGATACTTCATATTCATCATTCTTATAAATTTCCATCACAAATCCTCAAATTAGTTCTTGATTAAAATATTAGTTTTATTCCTATTTTACTTTCCATCTTGATTCTTGTACGTAGCCCATTACCTACCTTTTATTTAATTGATTGTTTGAATTAGCACTAAAATTGCTAAAACACCTCCGGCGGTGGAGGCTGTGTGGGTCCCATGGCCGTCATCGTCCCGGGGAGATTTGCTCTCCAGAGTCTCGTTGACCGGCCCCTGACTTGCCTCGTACCCCTTCGAAAAGTACCTCGCCCCTATAAGTTTCCTGTTGCAATTCGATGCGGTGAAATTGGTTCCAGTCTCGCACGTGCCTTTCCACGTGGTTGGGATCGGACCAAGCCCTCGGTCGTCGAAGCTCTTCATCTCCGGCCAGACTCCGGTGTCGACTACTCCGATGATAACGTCACTTTCAGCTGCAGAGCCGGGTAAGAAGTAATCAACCAGTCCCAGAAACGACGGCGTTCTGGTGGTGTGGAGCTGGCACTTTCTCTCCGGCTGAACAGAGACGACGCCGGGCAGAGTTTTAAGAAACAGAGCTTCTTGCTGTGTGAGCTTGGCGGAGAATCCGTGCGCCGCCGTTTTGTAGACATAGATCATCTCGGCTGATTCAGACGCCGATTTGAGAGCGGAGTCATACCAGTGAGCTTGATGGAGGAATTCCGGGGGCATTTCCGATCCCGCCATGTGAACGATGAATGTCTGTTTTTGCGCCAGTGAGGTTTGAAGTGATTTTGATAAGATAATAACCACAAGTATCATCTCTATAAATTTAAGCATTTTGTTTCTGTGTTAGAACTTCTTTTTGTACTACATTTCTACATGCCGATGTGGTGGTAGATTCATTATATAGGTTACAAATTCTGGTATTTAGATAAAAGAGAGCTCTTCTCATCAGGCCGGCCTGACGGGCAGCCCCGTCCGGCCGAGCCCGTTTGGGCACCTTCCCGGTGAAATTTTTTGATGAAATTTTTTGAGCATGTTCCTCATCAAGTCTAGTTTGTCCATACCAAATTTCAGCTCAAAATTCGATCGGGAAGGTCGTCAAATGATTTTTGCAAGTTAACTGGTCCGGAATATGTATTTTCCGGACCAGTTAACTTGCAAAAATCATTTGACGACCTTCCCGATCGAATTTTGAGCTGAAATTTGGTATGGACAAACTAGACTTGATGAGGAACATGCTCAAAAAATTTCATCAAAAAATTTCACCGGGAAGGTGCCCAAACGGGCTCGGCCGGACGGGGCAGCCCGTCAGGCCGGCCTGATGAGATGATTTCTCTAGATAAAAATTGGATAAAATTTATTTGATTATCAATGTTTTATTCGCAAAATGCCAAGTACATTGTTATCTGACGACATCACTGTTTATTCCCTAAAGAGGAGGTCACAAGTTCGAATCATATCCCAATCAAGGATATTAACATTAACGTGAACATATACTATAATAGGTTTAGAAGAATGTTTCAAAAAAAATGTTTTGTTCCCAAAATATGACTCATACACCCCTGTTTTGGGAAGTCTTCATCATGTTATTCTTTTATACTGTTTTGGGAAGTCTTCATCATGTTATTCTTTTATATAACTAAATAAATCATATTTTCTATTAGAGTATTTTCTTATAGTTTTATAGTTTTATAATGACATGCATGTATTATTTGATATTTTTATTACCCCACTCACCTAAAATTTCTTTGCAGTTCCCTCATTTTCTCTTATGATTCCCAGAAATGATTTAGACTTTGTGATGTTTTTGGTAGATTTCTATTGGTGTTTAGTAAGAGAAAGACCAGGTATATATTCATCAACCTTATACCCACCATGTTTGTGAAGTGTTTTTTTTGTCTGTGAACCCGATTCACAGACAAAAATAAAATACTTCACAAATATAGGTGAAAACAAAATTGGGTATAAGAGTGGGTACGTAAAAACATCATTTTTGATATATTCATACCCTGATACCACGTATGTTTTGTGAATGACATGCATTTATTAAATAATGATAATGAAAATGAATCAAGAAGACAAGAACATACTAGTATATTTTTAGAGAGACTCTTTTGTTCATATTTGTGAAAATTAGAAATGTTAAGTATTTACGTGAAAAGAAAGGATATATAAGAGAAAAGTATGTTATTAAAAAATCATTAAGACCTAGAATATGCAAATAGGCATATTGTGATTTTATTTCATATTATATTTCTATCAATATTTAATTAGTATTTATTGCATAGATAAATTTAAGTACAATTTTAATTATGAACTTAATGTAAATCAATGACATAATTATATAATCATACAGATCTAAAAATATAGCAATATTAAAAAGGACCGCCCAAAAATTCAAAAGTGTTAGCGATAATTTTACAAAATTTAGAGTGAAATATTTAAAAATTTCACTAAAATAAACTATGCGCTCACATACTTGCTGAAAGAGTAGTGAATTGTATCATAGATTTGAGGTTCACTGAACAAATATTTTGGGAAGAATTATTCTATCTGCCTCATAAAATTTTGCTAATTTTCATTACTTAATTATCCCAAAAAAGTTGTCAAATCTTTTTAATGTAAGAAATATGTGATTAAAGTTATTTCTTTATTCTCTGTATAAATTTTAAATCCAATTTGACCATTTTTGTGGGATAGGAATATGATTGGTGTGGTTAAAAGATACTTGCCTTTTTATCATCCAAATGCGTGCACTTATAAATGTATGAATTAACATATGCATACATAGCTTTATCATTTCAATAATATAATGATGTTTTAATTGGACTAAAGTTTTGTAGTATGATTTGGCATGCTTTGGTTGGGTTTGATCTTGTTCGCAGATGTTTGGTGTATGAATATTTTGCTACAAAATATTATTTAAGTCATATCTGATTTGATTTAGTTTAACACTAAAACTAATCTAATTAAAACATTATAAGTTTAATTCGTTTACCTCATCTTTTTCAATTCCCATGGCACGGTGTTACACAATGTGACAATGTGTACACTGTAAAATGTAATGGCCAATGGACGTTTTTCTTAACTACTTTATAAAACTACAAAACTAGAAAATTCTAAAATATGATTAAACATATTTTCTTCCAAAATAGGGTACTTATAATTTAGTCCTATTAAAAAAATAAAATAATCAAAACTTTTTTAATTAAGTAGGAGTGGATGGATTTTACTTCGGGATTAAAACAATGACACTATCCATTAACAATCGAATAGTGAAAATATGCATAATTTATGAGACTAAATGAGTAGATGTTTCACACCATGTATTCTTTCATTCTTCTATTCAAAAATATGGATAAAGTTCTCCTAATGTATTTATTTTTGTCCCGGCCCGGCCAACAAACGTTCAATTCACATTTGCTAAACGCACAGTAGTTAGTTTCACTCTCCTATGAGTGGGATTTCTAGATGAGTGGTGTACTATAATGTGATTAATGTCTATCTGTATATACATAATGCACTATATAAATTGACTTAAAATACAATCTGGACTAACTTATTGAGTAATTGATTTTCTCAATGGTCGATTCATAGTGCTTTGTAATGGGAATAGACAAACACCCCGCATAGACTCATCGGTTTAAGGTAGGGGTGAGTTCGGTTCTTGCGGTTCGGTTTTGACCTAAAACCAAATATAGAATCAAAGTAAAAAGTTCGGTTCGGTTTCGGTTCGGTTTTACACTTCAAAACTTGGAACCACGGTTTGATTGGTTCGGTTTGTTTCGATTCGGTTTCGGTTTTTTTCGGTTTTTTGCCAAAAAAATTATCATTTGATTTAAAATTGTTACTCCCTATAATACTTTGAGAGATCAAACATATACATAGTATTGTTGGAACTAATCTTGTTATTAGTGCTAGATTATTAGATTAGTTATTTGCATGGGTCGATAATTAATTATGCATATGTTGTAGCGGCACTGATGTGCGTGTGTGTCGTTGCATTAGTGTTAGTCTAATTTGGGTCAATTAGTTAATTAAGTGGCACATTAAGTAATTTGCATGCATGTGTTAGTGGGTGAGTGGGTCTCATTATCATGGGTGTAACTACATACGTACATGGGCAGTTAGTTACTTAGTGGTGTGCGTGTGTGTAGTGCTAGGTTGTGTGAGTTTAGCTATTTAAGCTTGTAATGATCCGTTTCTTTTAATGCAATGTGAAGTGATTTTTTTTGCACCACAAAAGCTACGTATGTGGAGTTTATTTTCTAAGCTTTAACAAGCTGCGTATGGATTATTTCTTCCTAAGAAATATGTATTTTTCTTCCTAAAGCATTCCCAACATTTGGTATCAAAGCCTTGTTTATCGAGGTCCGAGTCTCCATCGTTGTCAAGTAGCGCCACGACGACGGAGAAAGGTAAGCTGCCCGGTAAGTTGCGCCACCGACAGCGAGGAGTGGATGGCCAAGGTGCGGAGGCCATTCCCGTGAAGAGATCGTCGTCCATGTGTGAGTCGTCGACAAGATGTGGCATCGACGACAACGTGAAGGCGAGCCATCGGCGAGTTGCGTCACCGGTGGCAAACATGAAGGCGAGTCACCGGCGAGTTGCGTCACCGGTGGAAAACTTGAAGGCGAGTCACCGGCGAGTTGCGTCACCGGTGGCGGCCATGAAAGCGAGTCATCGGCTAGTTGTGTCACCGGTGGCAAACATGGAGGCGAGTACAGTCACTGGCGAGTTGCGGCACCGGTGGCGAACATGCAACAGTGAGCGTGTCACGGCGGCACGCTCGTGGTAAAAGCGTAGGAGGTGCGTCTCTCGTCGAGGCCATCGGCGACATCGACAAATCGGCGCAGGAAGATGGCAATGGAGGCCGTCTACATGTTGCACCGACGAAATCGACGACAACGGGCTTCAAGAGAGAAATAAGTAATAACAAGATTAGGGAGGTGATTGTTGGAACTAATCTTGTTATTAGTGCTAGATTATTAGATTAGTTATTTGCATGGGTCGATAATTAATTATGCATATGTTGTAGCGGCACTGATGTGCGTGTGTGTCGTTGCATTAGTGTTAGTCTAATTTGGGTCAATTAGTTAATTAAGTTGCACATTAAGTAATTTGCATGCATGTGTTAGTGGGTGAGTGGGTCTCATTATCATGGGTGTAACTACATACGTACATGGGCAGTTAGTTACTTAGTGGCGTGCGTGTGTGTAGTGCTAGGTTGTGTGAGTTTAGCTATTTAAGCTTGTAATGATCCGTTTCTTTTAATGCAATGTGAAGTGATTTTTTTTGCACCACAAAAGCTACGTATGTGGAGTTTATTTTCTAAGCTTTAACAAGCTGCGTATGGATTATTTCTTCCTAAGAAATATGTATTTTTCTTCCTAAAGCATTCCCAACCAGTATTACATAAAGAATGCAAGCACACTACAACAAATAAAATAAAAATGAAAATAAATAAATATGTCTTGAATTATATGAGTATGCGAGAGAGATAAAAGTATATATTATTAATCTACATTGTTTGTGACTAGTTAAAAAAAATCATGAGTATATAGTTATATACGTTCTATGTGATATAGTTGAGATGAATATTTATTGTTTCATCAATATGAATTTTTTAAGTTAAATAAAAATAAAAGTTAATTAATATTAATAACTAGTAAAAACATATTATCATCGTTCCGTATAGCTACATTATTACGGACAATGAATGTGTAAATGAATTTATAAACTAAACTAAACATAACACAAACATTATTTCTCTAGCACAAGAAAACCAAAGACTATTAATGATATTAGGATTTGTTAGGATTAATGCTTAACAATTGACAAATAAATTTTATATTTTAATTAGTTCGGTTTGT